GCCTGGCTTCTCCCTGCTAAGCAGGGATTATTCCCCACTCCCCTCTGCCTTACTCAAACACCTCAACATTAGCTAGTATAACACATACTGGCTATGGTCTGTGCTGTGGGAGACCACAGGCAGACAGGGTTTTTGGAGCTAATCAACAGGTAGCTTAATGTTCTTCCTTGGAAAAGGTCTTTAAGAAGAGCTCCATTAGTTAATGGAGAGAGGCTTTATTTTATTAATTGGTTGATAAACACTGAATGAGGGTGATAAACATTCCCTGCTGGGCTACTTGGGAGGCGGGGGGTGTGTGTGGAGAGAATAATCAGAGTATCCTGCCAGGGCCTGGCCATGCCCCCCTCAGCTCAGCCCTGTGGAAGTCAAGGGAGGGCTGCTGTAGCACCCCCTGACATCTAGCTTGAGCCACTGCGGACACGTACCTGTATTTCTGAGGTGTCTGTCCAGTTACAAAACTGATTTAGCTTATCCAGGTTAAACCTGCAAAGATTGAATCAATTCAGGCTCAGGCTTTTTGAATGTCTGTCCCTAGCCTTGGTGCTGCTATCCCAGTGCCCTGATGCCACTAGCCCAGCCACACAGCTCCCCACCACCCCCAAAGGACGCCCCTGCTCCTTTCACTCACTGAAGGGACAGGCACTTCCCCCCCCTCCCCCCTCTCCTGATGCATCCAGCTCCTGGGGATGCTCCCGTGACCCTGCCTGGCTGCATGCTAGCCACGTATGCCCACTACCTCCAGTCGCTCCAAGCAGTGTGCGTGTGTGGCACCCCCTGACTACTGCTCCTTGGTTGGTCGCCCATGTTGCCCAGCTGTGGTTGAGATTAAATATATTTATAAGACAAAGGCATAAGCCTGCAGTCTATAGACATCTCTCAGAGAAGTCACTGTCTGAATATATGTTAGAACTGTAAGCCTCATTTCCCCTTCATTAGTATCATTACAATGTATTTGTTGGGAGGACACAAATTTATTGCTCATTTATACAGATCTTGTAATCCTTCAGATTTAAGGCTGCAACCATCTTGTCTTGTAGCCCGTTTCTCATATAACATTGACTTGGTCATAGACTTGCTTTGCAGAGGAATGGCATATATTTGCAACCAAGTTGATCAAGCAGTTTTGAGGTACAGGCCATTCAAAAATTACCTGGATTGAAACTTCTTTTGTCTCTCTTCCCCACAAACTAAAACTGGCTCATTACTGCCAAGTTCATATCTTCCACATCATCCCAGCAACAGAAATAATATGCTTTGCTGTATTGGAGGAAAATGGTGGGGGGGTTGTGTCTGGGGAATGACAAGTAAGCAGTGTTATTAACATCAGATGTATCTGGTAGTGATACATGTTGAATAACTATGGGCAGCTTGCCCCCTGGTGGCTGCTTCCAGTTTAAAGTGCCCATTACTAAGCAAAACAATCCAGCTGAAGAACCAGTGAGTTTTGAGTCTGACCAAGTTCTGCGCTGAATTTGTGAGCTGGCTACTTTGCTGGATTGTGTGGACATTAAAGTTTAATAGATTTTTGTTGAACAGCTGCCTGTCAGATTGACTGCATTAGAAAATAGAGCTGTCCATCTGCAGAACAGCTAGCACAAATTCCCCAGAGAAAACACGTACATTTTCTGTACAAGTCCGAAGTACGTTATGTGGGGAGGTGAACAAGGAGGTCTCTCTAAGATTTTTAATACTACATTGCATCTGGTCTTTCTGTTAAGGGAAGGAGGTTAAGGATCCTTTTCATCTATACACTTTCTTCCTGCACATGGACATGCACGTGCACACGCACATGCGCACACACAATTTAGGAACAATAGCATTTCCCATACTGGGGGCAGTGTATGGGCTCCTCTATCTAGACACCTTTGGAAAGGACACTATTCCACAATGGCATGGATTGGTGTCTTAGGCCATGTGTAGATGAAACAAGGGGCATGTGTGAACAAAACTTTAATGTGGGTTAAATGCTTTTGCACCACTTTAATGGTGTTGGTGTTTGTATGTGTCAGTGGCGTATTACACAGTAATTCCAGCTGCTGTAGCAAATGCGGCGTAACGCGCCTTCAATGACTTGGGGTGCAGCAAACTAAAACTCTGAGGAGTTTGTTTGCTGCCCTACAGCCACGGAGCAAAGCACCAGGCTCTGCAGCTCATGGGCTCAGCAGGAAGCCTGTGCAGATAGCCTGGCAGCA